GCAGCGGTGAAGATCAAAGGGAGTTTGTCCCTGACATCAGGCACTGGAGCAGCGGTGAAGATCAAAGGGAGTTTGTCTCTGACGCCAGGCAAAGAAGGGCAGAGAAACGGAGGCAGCAGTTACAGAGACAGACTCATAGGAGATAATCAAGCCCAGGTGGTTGTGGCTTGGCTCCTCCCAAGAGAGTATATAAGAAGAGACTTTGGGAGGAGACCTTTTGCAGGACACAACCGTTCAAACAAGCTGGAGAAGCTCTTGTTTGTTTTGTATCTCTTGTCTGTGGGAGTCTGGGTTGCTGCCAACATTTTGCCTGTGAGTAATTGCTGTGAATAAAGTGTGGCTGTCAGTAAGCCTGTGTCGGTGTTAATCACCAGACGGAGGGAGGTCAGAACAGATGTTTATTTGTAAACTGTGTAGGATCAGAAGATGAGCCTTTTCTGCAGTGGCCCCTTCTCCATGGAACATCCCTTCTTTCAGAGATCTGAATGGTCCCAATCCTGTAAGCTTTTCATAAGGTCCTAAAAACTTGGCTAGGCTGGGGTGGTGAATTTGCAAAGCCTCCCCCCCCTCCTTTTCACTGGCTACATTGCTATTTTCCTCTTGGATATCTTGAAATTGAGGTTTAATGTTTTTTTTTGCTTAAAATGCTTTTAAAATTTTTAATGGTAATACATTTTATGTATGTTCGGTAAGCTGCTCATAGTCATTGACAGAGATGGGCGGCCATAGAAATTGAATAAACAAATACATTTGACTATAATATTGTCCTACCTTCCATAGTTGATGCAAATATTACAACAAGAAGATAGTTTGAATGTCAAAACATGCTGTAAATGCAAAGTAATGCCATGCTAAGCGGCAGTAAAGTTTGTTTAACATATGTAACGTTATTAACATTACTGTGCAACCTACTTTTCTTGATACCTTGTTAGGAATATAATCTAACGGCTGGGTTGGCAATATATAAATCATGTAACAATGCTATACCTGTTTCTTTAAATCATACTATAAAATGTGATTGGGTGCTGCATTCCTCAATCGGCCATAAGAGGGAGCCATTTTAAAACCTCCAGTGTTGGGGCACCCACAACGTCTTGGAAGCAAGTCATTTCACCGATTATTAGCTCCAGAATACGAGAATCACTAGAACCAGAATACTAGCTTGGACACAGTTAACTTTTGCAATGTTTGTTTGATGACAGTTAACGCATTGTGACATCAACATTATTTGCTTCATTATTTGCAAACACAACAATGATCTTGGAACTTCCCTTAAACCAACTGCCATTCTTTTTCTGCAACGGCCCTTCGGAGATTAGGATTAGGGTCCCAATCTTGTTTGCCTTTCGTAAACATGGCGATGCTCCCGAGCTGGGGAAGCCACATGTGCCAAGGGCCCCTCCTCCTGGCTATATTATTAAAGGGCCAGATATCTGTGCACTTCGAATTAGATATTTTAATGTTTTCTTACTGTTCTTGCTGTTTTTATTGGTTTAAAAATGTTATTTGGATTTTTAATAGTAAAACAAGTGGTATCTCAGTACTTATCCTTAATTGGCTCCAGAAGGCATGACAAGTACTAAAAAAAGGACGAGTATCAAACAAACCATGTGACTTCCCATGTGACCCTCGGTTTCCGCCAGGAAGGACTTCCTATTTTCCTATGTCAGTGACCTTCCCCACATGACTCTGCAGCTGTTCCCCACTTCCTTGCGCAGCGCGTCAAGTGCCAAACCAATTAGGAGTACTGGGAGTACTATTTTTTTAATCATTTCTACGAGTACCAAGTACCATTATTTTGTTGAGTACAAAATTCAACGAGTTTTGAAACAGTCGAGAGTACTGAGATCCCACTGTGTATGTTTTGAATTGTAAGCCTCCAGGAGTTCATTTACTGAGGTGGGCGGCTATAGGAATCAAAGAAATAAATAAAATTCGAAGATACTGCTTGCTCTTACCCCACTGCCTTCTTTGATCCAGTAGCTCAGCCACCAGTTGCTGAAGGCCATACTGCCCACATTCAATATGAAGAGGGTCATAATGGTCAGGAAAGCGACTGGGCCTCCAGCTGCTTGGATGTAGACCCAATAAACCGACCAGGGAACAGAACCTTTGCCTTTCTCTTCCACTTGCATCAGCTGAACTAAAGCACAGGGAAGGGCAGAAGAGGAGGTTAAGCAGAGAGAATTCAGCAAATCCAATCTATACTAGATACAGGTAAGTCCTTGGCTTACGACCAAAATTGAGCCCAAAATTTCTATAGCTAAGTGAGACCTTTTATTAAGTGAGTTTTGCCCCATTTGACGACCTTTCTTGCCACAGTTGTTAAGTGAATCACTGTCGTCGTTAAAAGTTAATTCAAAGGTTATTAACTGAAC